TATATAGTTATACATTAATATTCGTTACAGAGGTAAATTGCGGAGAACTCAAAACTCTTGGTAGCTTGGATCTGGGGAAGCCGAAGACGGAGCCATCAACAGTTTTGCCAGCGGATGTTTAGTGCTGGTGAGATCCGCATGCAACAGGTCGTTGCATTTATATCAACTTGGAATATGAACGGGAGTTCTTACCCATATATTTAATGAATGATGAAAAAAACATTCATGTGAGTTGACAGAGTACAAACAAAATACGTCGCAAAATTTAACTTCAGCTAGTCAAGGACACTTAATTTCAGGATACACAATTTATAATGTGCTGATCAATAAAACTGCTCGGAATTAAATTTCGCTAGAACAGTCCAGCAGAGACATCCCAGCCGATAGCAGGAGTACGGTAGTGTACGTGCATTTACCGCACTAGACAGCTAATCCACCACTTTGAGATGAATGTTGCCCATCGGAAGCTCCAGTTCAAAATCACGTAGAAATCTCCAGGGCATAAAGATTTCTAGGCATGCAAATATCCCTATCTGTCAGCACATGTACAACGGCTGTGCAATCCAGTGACGCTGAGAGCCAAATGCACAAAATGAATCATCCTGCTTTCTTCACCATCAGGAAGAGACACTTGACATTTCACCATATAATTTGCTCTTTACTGGTGCAGAATGAAGTCTTCCCACCAAAATTTACCGCACTTTCAACGCAAAAACTTCATGCTTCAAGCAAAACCCCGGGTTCACCGAGCTTAAAAGCAATATTGAAATGTGACATTTGTCTGGAGAATGTTGGCAGCCAATTAGCTGAATTCAGTGTCCATTCAGCCTTTTTTCATGCCAAATTTCATCGCAACCCGATTACTTTGTATGACAGAAAATGGAAAGGAGCTATCCCAGGGTACCTCATTACAGCAATGAGTTAGCAATAACATCACGATCATCATTATTATCACCAATACTATCATCATCAACATTATCATCATCATCAACATTAATGGAAATACAGATATCACTCACTGCACTTTGTGCGGTAAATGCATCACAATCACTGATAGGCATGTGTTAACATTTTTATTCCCGGATGCTTACGGATTGCAAAGCCAATGCGGTAACACAGAAAACTCAGAAGAGCACAAAAAAATAGAACACACCTGAATATCACAACGACTGAATGCTCACATACAATCCATCACAACGCCACGAAGTGTTTCGGAAGTTTTTTGTCAATTCTGCAGAATCATCGGGATTTCACGAATAAACAGTATGTAGGACGGTCGAAAGCGAGCTACCTGCTTTAGGCTCGGACAACGAAACAGCATATAACCTGCACATTGAGGCTGAGGGAGAAAGCGATGACTAAGTTTGTCACTTGCTGAAGTGAACATTCACATGCGCTGACCGTGATAAATCACCACCGTACATTTAATCTAATTTGGTGCATAGTAAGGATATACGTAAACGATAACTTCAAAGCACCTGCTCCAAAATTTCAGCTTCCTAGCTTCACCGGTTACTCAGTTGAAAGTTGGGTGACAGAAATGCGTAATATATATACACACATACATACACACACACACACACACACGAACAACCTCTCATCAATATGCATTTTTGCATTTGCAAAAATGTACAGTAAGGACAAAACAAATGAAGCCAAACGGATGCATTATCACGCAGATATATATCGCCCGTCGAATATAAAGCTTTCTTTGCACTAATTTATCGAATTCTTGCAGTAACTCTCATCGATGCATCTCCTTCTTCCTCGAGTCATTAAAGAGACTAGCTTCCCTACGCAACTTTCGAACTTACAGTCAAACCCAGCTGTATTAAATGAATCAAATTTACTGAATCGTCACCGTAGCCGACCACCGCAAAGCATTCTTTAGTCGATGTAGTTTACCATACACAACAATTATTAGAAAACCTGGAAAGACAAGAAGTGATAGCACAAGCCCAAAATCACCGAGCACAAAAATCACGAACATTAGCAGCCAGTGAAGACCAATAAAAAAGAGATACAGGGCACAGGTAAGATACAAATCAAGCAAGGAAATGAAAAAATACAGAAAGCGTGAAAAATTTCGGGCGAACGATAAC